CATTAGCCATTTTTATCTTCTGCTTTTTACATCTTCTTGATCATTTTTGTCCTATCCAAACATTTTTTCTTTCTAATTTTTGTTTGTCTTTTTCGCATCTTTACTTTCTTCTTTTTTATTTTCTTTTTCATCGTCGGATTTTCATCTTCTTATACTTTATTTTCTTCATCTACCATTTTTGTTCTTCTTTTTCTTTCAGTTTTCTTCTTCAACTTTGAGTTCTTCATCTCCTTATCATTTTTCTTCTTCACTATTTTGTGTTACCCATCTTGATCTTATCGTTCATGGTCTAGGACTTTTTGTTCATTTTTTCCTCATTTTTTTACGTTTTCGTTAACTCTATGTTCTTCTATATGTTTCAATTTATCTTTTTCTCTTCTTTTTCTACTTCGTTTTTCCCTTTTTCCTTTTTCTGTTTTCTTTTTCGATTTTTTCCTCTGCGCCCTGCTAGTGTATTTGGCTTCTCTTACATTATTCAAAAAATAAACAGAATTCAGAAAGTCATACTTAAAACAAACAAAAAAAAGACTTAAAACCTGTTTATTAGACAATGAAGATGATTTATGATATGTTGACATGGTTTTAATCACGTTAAGTAAGGAAGAATAACTAACAACACAAAACAACAACATATAATCAAGGAACACTACTACTGGTACTGAAAAACGGAAAAAACAATAGAAAAAAATCAAAAAATTGATTTATAAAAAATAAAGATGGTAAACAATACAATGAAAAGCCGACCAATGTAGAAACCAAACCACAATTGAGCTTAAGATACATTTAAAAAAGTAATATATTTATATATAGCTCTCAACTTAAGCTAAGATTTCCCACATCACATGTATATTTTTTTCCAGATAATCTTGCTCAACAGATAATCCGATTGAAATTATCTTAATATTATCAAAATAACTAAAAGTGGCAGCAAAATTGTTATACAAACTACAAAAATAAATTAATTAATTAAGGATATTTAAAAAAAAATTATTAACGAATAAATGAGAATTAGTTACCTAGATTGAATGAGAGACCTTATAGCGAAAAATTTACTTCGCATATATTATATATGATATGATTTTAAATGTTTTTTTGATTAAGTTTCAATTTTTAAATTTTTGTTATTTTCTATTTTAAATATTATTGATTAAATTTCGATTTTTAATATTTTTTTTAAATGTTTTTTGATTAAATTTCGATTTTTAACAATTTTTTATTAATTTATGATTTTTAATATTTTATTTAATTTACGATTTTTAATAATTTTTTAATTAATTTATGATTTTTAATAATTTTTTTATTAAATTTAATTTTTAAAAATATAAGGAGGGGTAAAAGGTAATTAGCCACCCTAAGAATGAATGAGAGAGCTTTAACTCAAAATTTTACTTTGCTTATAATATATATGATTTAAATTATAATCATCATATATATTATAAGCGAAGTAAAAATTTCATTTAAAACTCTCTCATTTAATCTCAGGGTGGCTAATACCTTTTACCCTTCTTTAAATTAGTTTAAATTAATTTTTATAAAAATATATATTAAAAAAACGAAAATAATGGTTTAAATTAAGTGAACATACCATTATCATACCGTATATTAAAAAAAAATCAAAAACAACGGTTTAGGGTTTAAAAAATAAATATTTGGCGGCTAATTACCCTTTACTCCTTCTTAAATTAGTTTAAATTAAGTTTTATAAAAATATATATTAAAAAAACGAAAATAATGGTTTAAATTAAGTTAACAAACCATTATCATACCGTATATTTTAAAAAAAAAAAACCAAAAACAGTGGTTTAAAGTTTAAAAACAAATACATTTGCCTTAAAAAGACTGCAGAGTAAAGTATCTGTGATTCTTCTGAATACTAAACTTCCCTGAAGGGCAACAACGATTGTATCTGGATTTCTTCTGGTATTGTTCTCTTTTAAATAAAGTCATACAAGTGTTGCAAGTTGCAGCAGAAGTAATTAATTTTCAGACAAACTTTCTTTCGATGCCAAGATTCAGGTTTTTTTTTTAAAAAGCTTGTCTTGGACCAGTTTGACTGCCGAGAAAACTGTGAAAGGAGAAAAAAAAAAGTGATTTAGGATTTCTTTAAAGCCAAGACGAAAGACAAAACGTCAATAGGTTAAATTACGCAAATGATCTCTAAATCATTTTGCAAGCTTATAAGCTTCCAACAGAGGACAAGCTAGCGTATCTTCTGGGTTTGTCTTTAGCCATATAGTTGATCTAACAGTTTTTCCAGGTTTTGTCGAGAAACCAAGCTTCTGTAATCATATGATCAAATCAAGGGGAATAAAGGGAAAAGCTCTGGTTGAATCAGAAATTAGCTCCGGTTTCCAAAGTTGATCAACAACCCATCAGAGAAAAAGAGTTGAAAAAAAATTCAAATAGAGAAGTTAACAAAATTGGTTGAACAAAAAGAAAACTTTCAACTGTTTAACATTCAAATTAAGAGAATATATTTTTTGTTCTCACTTGGTGGGCGTCTTTTGACAAACAAGAGAGAGAGGGAGTGATATATTAAATTGTGTCTTATCTATTGATGACCGACAAAACCATTAGTTTTCATGGAGTATTTTCAACTGGGAAAATGCAAAGAAAAAGTGAGAGACACTAGAGAGGGAGAGAGATAGATGGTCGAAAAATAAGTAAAAGTGGAAGTTTTATAGCCACAAAGTCGTGGCCTTAAGCTCCACAGAAGGGAAGAAGAATGAAGAACACAGAGGTGAATATTTTCTCTGGCCAATTACACAGAGGTGATCAGTGTATCATACCAAGGAGACTTGGTTCCAAGGCAAATGAAAATAGCCAAAGCTTCCACTTTCCTTCCTGGTTGCTAGAGATTTTTGTAACCGATATTATAAATTTATAACAATGTGCAATGATTAAAAACACATGTCTAGTTCTAATTCTTTGGCTAATCTATTATATGATCGA